TATATATATGAGTGATGTGTCAGCACATTTGAGGGTATTTTTTAATGTGTGGGCCAGTATGAATGTGTGGTACAAAGGACGGTAACATATTCTCAGTTGCTCAAAATGTCTAGAATCATATTCCATAACGAATTGTGGACAACGGTGTATTCGTTGTTCCCAGACTTTTGGTCTTTGCTATTCTACATCTCTATCTCTATCTCTATATATTATACTTGTGAAAGTTCGTCACTTTGGCCGCCTAAAACTTCCGAACCACTTAACTTTTGAATTTGACAAAATTAATGGTGGTTCAGAATCGCTTAAATTTAAAGGGTGAACAGTTTCATTGAGGAGCCTGAAGTCACTGAAGTTTAATTTTCAGTTTATCATTAGTTCCGTTTCGATTAGACCTAATCTTGGGAAAGTCCGTCCATAGTAAACAAGTGAAGTTTCCGTTCGTTAGCTGTGCGCACTGTTTCTACACTTTTTAAATTATGGAGTGTGCAACCACGAAAGCAGAATAGAGAATCAATCTATACATCTATTATATATTTGGTAAGTGGAAACACATGTATCACTTTTTTCTCAAGATTTTTTGCTTCACTCCAGTTGAGTGTAAATATAGTAGCAATGCTTTTCATTTGATGTTAACGCCCCGATCATTCCTTTCATTGAAATGGGGCCCAGCTGGTATACTATATTTGTGAAAGTTCGTCACTGTGGTCGCCTAAAATTTCCGAACCACTTACCTTTCGAATTTGAAAAAAAATAACGGTAGTTCAGAATCATTTAAAGGGTGCTACGTTATATAAGGAGTCTGAAATCAGTGTAGTTTAATTTTCACGTTTTCATTAGTTTCGTTTTGATCTAATCTTCAGAAAGTCTGTCTTCTAAGACGCCATTGTAAACAAGTGAGACTTCCGTTCATATGCAGTGCGCACTGAATCCACAATGACTTGACGATTGAGTCCGTTCATCTAACGGGGTACCCAGCTAATATATAAATTTCATTCTCTATATATTACATATTAAAATTATCTTTCTTCATTTTTGATAATAAAAATTTATTATTTTGTTCAGTCGCTACCCCATAATTACAAAGTTCTATCTGACATTTTTGGCCGTTTTGAGTTACTAATACCATGAGGTTAGAAACCAAATATTCTATCTGCTCTGTCAAAATCGTAAGATTATTCGGAGTCGTTATCAAGACATTCCAAGAATTGCATTCGAAAAAGATTGACACATTGTGAAACTCAACATTTTCTACGTCAAATTTCTCAAAACTTGGTGCTGAGCTGATACAACTCTGTACATCTAAGCTAGCGCAGTGTCCGCCTGACTGCAAATTTTTGTCCTCATCCCTCACACAGTGGAATACAGACCTTGACATTCGAAGCCCTTGTACCAAAAAGGGTCACATTTTCTTTAGCGTTAGTCTAGTTTGTTCTTTGGAAATAATGTCATTGCACCTGAAAAAGCCAAACCCTATACAATATCACGAATATGAACCTATTTTTGTATTTTTTTTTCTCACCAACATGCGTTTGGAGGGTGCTGCTTTTCTATCAAATTATACAGTCACAGGGTGGTATCCATCCAGCCTTTTCCTTTTACCAAAGAACCACAACCCATACTTATCATCGGGTACGAGTCTACTTGACCCGCACATTGCGTCACCGAGGATTACAAGTGACCCAACTGGGAAAGGGTCCGGGTCTAGCGTCTAGGTCCGGGTCCCCAGATGTTCCTAGTAAGTTAAGTAACTTCCAAAATGAGAGCTCAATAGGTCTCTACCCATCATTGAGCCACCCCCCCACCCCCCATTCCTCTTAAACTTAACTAAATCCTCATGTCAACAATTTGTAATCTCCTTTACTTAAAACTGCAGCTTGTACACCAAAACCTTCCAGGTGTAGAACAAATTATTCCGTTCCTTCCGCAACTTTGATAACAGGAAGTAACACGACACCCGAGCTCGGCGTCTTGTGGCGACTCCGACAGGTTCCTTTTCGCGAGGCCTCGAAGCGCCTTGTTTGTTATTTCAGCGACTTGGAAGAAGCAATAGTAAAACCCGCGAGGAACGGCCTAGTGGAATTTAACTTGAACGCTCTTTATTCCCAGCGGCTTGCATAACGTCAAGGAACAACAAGCTCCACCGTGCAGTAGCTACTAGCTGTAAATGAGGGGAAAATCCAAACCGACAGCACTGGCGCCCCTATTCCGATGACGTCATATAACTCACAGACCTGTGGTAATTGAATTATTAAGGATTCAGGCGTAGCCAATGTTTACTCGCCCTGACTGCCCGTTACTCACCGCTTCCTTCACGTTGGAAGGGGAAGTAAGCGCGACGTGTAGGGGGCAATTAAGGAAGCTAGACCAGCTCCTGGTTTCACCTACTTTTTAAAAATGCCGTCGCTACTTTTTTTCATGGCGCACACTCATGAGCGCCGTTGTGCGCATTCGTTCAGAAGCAAAAATATAGCGTACAGCCAGCACTTACCGCCGATTGATGGAACAGCTAACCCAACAAGACAGGAATGAAAAGAAGAAGAACTCTTAAAACGCGGGAGAAGTGTATAAAGCTTATCGTGGCAGGATTTTGGGAGAAAAAAAATCTTTTTCCTTCCTGCACATCCGCATCTTCCCCATCCGTCTCTTTCTTTGAAAATTCCAGCCCCCTAATCCTCTGTGTCAAATTTCTCTAGATTCACCCAAATAGGGCAAAATTGGTTCCGGCTATTTTTTTAATGAAAGAAATTTTTTTCCTTTGAGTTTTCAGGCTTAATGAGATTGTAAACCTCAGTTATGAAATACAGGGCGTAAATTTCAGCGTGGGAAAACTAATGTTGACAGAACTCGCTAAAAAAGACGAGGGTCTGGTGAGGAAAACAGAAATAGAGCGAGAAGTACATTTCTGATAGTGACTATTGGATATGTCTGGAAACCAGAGGTTTGTTTTTTGAATATTTAGAACTGAGCGTGTGGTTTTTCGTTGGGCTTCTTTCGAAGAAAAAGGTTGGGGGTTTTTTT